TTTCGTCCTGTTGTATCATTTGTCATGACCAGTACTACCAAACTCAAACATTCAAAAGTCAGAAGGTAAGGCACAAAAGAATGAATTGGTTAACATACCAATTTTTTTTTAAATATAGATTTTATTCTTTTTTGGTCTTATGGGAAATTGTGAGCTTTCATCCCAAGTCTGGTTATCTGTCTAATGTGAGGAGTTTAGGGGAAAGCTATAAGAGACTTGCGTTCACTTGGTTCATTTAACCAGTAAATAAAAAACATAGATGGAGGTAGGTCAGAGCTCAGATGGTTGTGACAAAATACATATTTTATATCCTCTGTCACATTAACAGTTCAAGACTCTAGCACCTAACACAAGAAAATGAATAGCTAAGGTTCTCTGCATTTTATGCTGGCTACAAACTATGTTCTTATAAATTGCATTGTGACATAACAGAATTTTAAGTAGCCCCAGTCCCATTCCTTGCTCTTCTAATCTTGAAACCTTTCTAGGTTTTTATCACTGCATGGAAGGGTTATGAAGCATAGTAGGTTTGCGGGTGCTAGAGAATGGAACATAGAATTATATCCATCTTGGATAGATGTTGATTCAGCTGTTTTGAAACCTCCAATGGAGGAGATTCCTCAACTGTCTTAGGCAGCTTGTTCTTTGTCCTACTAGGCTTACATTTCGGAAGCTTCCCCCTTGCCCCCAGTTTAATCTAAATTGCCTTTAATGCAACTTAAACCCATTGCCCTGCCCTCTGTAGCAAAGGAGACTAGTTGCTCTCTTTCTCTGTGGCAGCCTTTCAGATATTTAAGAACTGTTTTCATGTCCTCCCATTAATCTCCTTTCCTCTAGACTAAATAATCTTTCCCCATAGAGCTTGAATTCCAACCTCTGTCATCTTTGTCACTTGCCTTTGGATCCTCTCCAGTTTCTCTGCATCTCTCTTAAAATGCAGCACCCAGAACTAGGCAAAAGAACTCCAGCAAAAAGCCTAACCAGCACAGACTAGAGTGGTATTATCATCTGCCATGCTTTACATGATGATACTTCTCATAATGCAGCCCAAAGTTGCATTTTATTTTATTTTTCACAGTGTTATCTTGCTACTTGATATTTTGAATTTGCAATCTACCAAAGACCCCCAGATTTTTCTCAGCAGTGCCTAGTCCATTCTCCCTGTTCTGTGTGGACGCATTAGCTGAGTGAGCCCCCAGGGGCAAGGCCATCCTAATTCAACGTTTTTAATGGTAGACGCTAGGAAATGATGGTCCAAATGCAACTGTGCCTCTTCCTAAATGCTGATTCTAGGTCTAGGACAGGGTTGGGCAAAATGGCAGATCTGGCCAGCTGCCAGCCTCCGTTTCCCAGCAGACCGTGTTTGCATTGCTGTGGCTGGTTTCCATGGAGACCCCAGGAGCAGCATGGCTGTATCAGTGTGGGACTAGGGTTTCCATGGAGACCAGGCCCTGCAGCTCCAGCAGAGCATGCAGCTGGGCGGGGAGCTGCTCCAGGGCGGGGATCTTGTAGTGGTGACAACATGTTCTGGAGCCGGGGTGAAGCTACGATCCACTGCCTGCATGCCCCTGCCTGTCTGGGTCGTGTAGGCAGCAGATCACAGCTCTGTCCCAGCTCTGGACTGTGCTGTCACTGCCAGAAGATCCCAGCCCTGGAGCAGCTCTCAATCTGGCCCATGGGCCAGGGTTTGCCTGCCCCTGGTCTAGGAAATCAGATCCTGGCAAGACACCCTATGTGCCCATCAGTCTCTTACAGAATGAAGTTGAAAGTGCTGGTGTGTGAAGCTCCTCAAAGGATGGACAGGACCACAGCTAGCATGCCATGTTGGAGGGCCCTTCAATTGGAAGCCACCAGCTAGGAGTTTACAGCAGCCCTAGATAATCTTCTACATAGGGATGATCAGAATGTACCAAGTGCCTTACTGGGTTAGAGTAGTAGTCCATTTACCCAGTATCCTGTCTCCAACGATGGCATGTAATGTAGATGCTTTTAGAGGGAGTGTGCGAGAATGGGGCATGCCTCGTACTCTCCTTTGCATCAGCCCTCACTGGGTTAGGAGGGTCAGAGGATACATCCCTGTCTTTGTTCTGTTGATTTGATGGGGATATTGGTGATCTGCCTAGTCCTGGTTACCTAAACCCAAGTGTTTCTTTTGGGCTCTTCAGTAGTATGTTTCCCTCCCTCAAGAAAAGTAGAAAAGCTTTCATGCCCTGATATCCAGCCCCACCAAATTGAAAATATCATGTTCTGTAGGATCTACTTTGATTTTTGCTTCACACCTGAGGATGGAGAAGAGTCTGCACAGTGACAACAGGAATCATGGGAACAGATTTGGCAGTAATGTCGTGTAGCTGCAGGCAGGCTGACTAGCCCTTTTGTCCCTCAGAGCTTTTTCCACTCCTCTGCTGAGCAAACTGTGAAAAACAGCTTGTGCTGACTGCTTGTAGGAGCCACTAGCTGCAGTGTGCTTGAATGGGGGTGAACTTGTTGCCGGATTGCTCATTTTAGGTTCTTCATTGACTGACTGAACCCAGCTGGAAGCCTATGTGTAGTCCATCCTGGGAATCAAGCCATGGGAAAACCACATGGTTTGTGCCTCAACACATGAATTCCTGCAACATGGCTGTTTTGGGTCGATTAAGTTGGCCCCTTGACTCAGTGGCAGTTTTTCAACCAACCAACTGAAATGAGTCTTGTCCTATGCCTTAATGGTAGCTAAAAATTGGTGTTGGCAGCTACAAGGGGAAATATTTGTTTGCCCCTCGGCTTATTGTCAAGCATGAGATCTTACTGGGAATGTGTTTAGTTAGGATGGGTAATTCATTTTCTGTTGCTTTGGCTCTGTGAACTATGCAGGCAGACTACAACTGGGCCCTGGAAACCCAGGTCAGCACATTGGCTGTTTTCTACAATGTCCCCTATTCTGAAGAACAGTTGGATGCTGTATTTCTTACAACTGCCATCAGAGCGAGAGGAATTACCTAGAAGTTGTTGGACCTAAACAGTATACATTCCTGTAACCAGTTCTTTTAACAATCTCTAGATGATAAAAGCTACTTACATGTGTAACTAACCTTCATCTTAGCCATTTCCTTCCTAGGAAGATAAGTGTCACCTTATGCTTTGGAGAATAACTCTTTCCATGTGCCTCTAGTACTTGTTTTCCTATTTTGAAAACTCAGGAGCCTGATTTTTAGGGGTGTGACATGGGCCGTATTTGATTCGGCCCGAATCGGGGACAGTGATTTGATTAGTTGATTTGTATCACTGTCTCTGATTCAGTTTAGCCAAATCTGAATCTGAAAATTCAATGCCCATTTGGAGAATTGGCGATTTTGGCCATAGATGGCTTTCAGTGTTTTTTCTATGTGCTTCAAGGTACCAGACGTGGCTCGTGGATGCTGCAATGCTGGAGCGGATGGAGTGTCCCGCAGGAGCATGGGGGGGCCCACGCATGCTCGGCAGCGAACCCAGAACCGGACTGGAAGTATGTCCGGTCCATTTCTGGGTCTGCTGCTGAGCGCATGGGGTGGCCCCCTGCACTCCCCCAGCTTAGCGATCAGCTGTGGGGGGGACCCCAGGTGCCCCCCAAACCCAGGAGGCACGAGTTGCCGAGCAGGGGGACACAAGGGGGGGGCCCTGTGCATTCCCTGGCAGACCAGGAAGTGGACCGGAAGTGTCCTCTGGTCCACTTTCAGGTCTGCTGCCAAGTGCGCTGGGACCCTCCCACGCTCCTGTGGGACACTCCATCCGCCCCAGCATCTCAGCATTCACGAGCCGCCGGCTACCTTGAGGTATGTAGGAAAAAACATATAAAGCTGTGTCTGTCTGAATTGCTGAATCTTGCCAGTTTGATTCGGAGAAATTAAAGGGCCTCCTGATTTGATTTGGATTCGGCGATTCAGCCACTGACTTGAGTCAAATCTCTGCTGAATCAGGGACCAAAGCTTCGCACAGCCCTACCGATTTTTGTCCAAAAATGCTGAGCATTTGGCCTCTCTTAAAGGCTTTCATATGGGTAACCAAAATCACTAGTGACTAGAAAGTTGTAGGCCCTTAAGGGACATCCCGTCTGCCAGCATATAGAAATGATTCTCTTTTTCCGTCTTCTAGCCAGAGCCTTGGTGCTGAGCTGATGGGACTGCAGGTGGATTACTGGATTGCAGCTCAGCCCACAGACAAAAAGAGAGATCCAGAGAAGAAGGACCCTTCCACTACCAAAAACACACTGAAATGCACTTTCCGGTCTCTCCAGGTCAGCAGGTTACCCACAAGTGGCGAAATCACCACTGCTCCAACAATGTCCATGACAGTTGTGACGAAGGAAAAGAACAAAAAGGGTAAGATGGAAGATAACACATCAGGTTACTGTCGCTATAGGAGGAGTTTTTGATGTATGCAAGATAGACTATGTGCACTGACTATAAATCTTCTCAGGATGTTTTAAGTTTTGCTGCTTTCCCCACCACCAAATTCCTTGTTAGTTATATTGGCTTTTAGAGGCAAATGACAGTTTGGCTGATGGGAACAGGCTCCCTGTGATGCCATAAGAGGGCATCATGTTTGGTAACTGAGCAATTTTACAGCTGTTGTCTTAGTTAGGAGTCCTAATCTGCTCTGCCTACCAATGAAAGGTGGTCACTGTAGCATGCAGCAATATGTTAGCCATAGGATTAATGGCATATAGGGGGTTGTGGTTTTCAGGTGGGCTTTTGTCATCCTTTCATAGTTTCATAGTTTCTAGGGTCGGAAGGGAC